AATAAAGCAATAATATTTGAAATTTAGTGTAAGATACATCATACTTACAAATGTTGAAATGTTACTAATGTTAGATAATATGACTTAAAAAAAGTAATACGATATAAAATAATAYTTATTTATAATCAGCTAGTGTTAGTAAAAAATGATATTCCTATTTTATGATATATAAGAGACCATTATAAAAAAATATAATAAATAATTTGCAAGCCAAATTAACGATAGTTATTCGTCGAAAATAAACAGATGAGTACAACCTATAGGTTTTCTCAGAGTTAGGCTAATCTARCCGCAAAAGCCACTAACTGGCCAGTTCTGGAAAACAAATACCACTGTGATTATAAATATATTGAATTAGAGATTTATGTTACAGCCTCAATGACAAATTAATAACTTACAGGTTAAAATATTAGAAATATTGATCGAAAGAAACTAGAGAAAGCAATAGATAATGAAAAATATAAGTGAAATTGACCCCGGTTCCACGCTGGCGAATTTTATTAGCGGTGGAACTGACCGTACAAGTATTAATTATATGAAAACTAGGTAATTATGCGAGAATTGAAGAATTCCTACATATCAGACATTAACACCCCAAGGATGATATAAAATATTATTGGAGGTATATTCCCCACGGCCAATATATCAACACAAAGACGTGGCAGTATGGCTACAGGAAAGAGATTTGCCATCATCACAGAAACAAAAGTGATTGCAATCGTTAAGTCGTCTAATGATAAGTTTTAAGATGAGAGTACCTATATTACGACGTCGATAAGGATCAAGAGTATAGGGATGAATGTAACGATCCTCAAATCGGAACATATATTGTTTACATTTACTTTGGGTAATAAATTGGGGTCTTATAATCTGTGTGAGATGTGAGAATATTGCTAAGAAAAAATAATTATTTGCCTTAGACTTATTGCGAGCGTACCAATACTCAAGTATATAGACATACAGTCGTGATAGTGTATTGCACACATACATATCATTGATGTCAACTTATTTTGTGCTGAGTATTTATCATATTAATTGAATTCACACTATATTATGAAATATCGAAA